AAATAAAAACTTGTTATGATCATAGCACTCTTTGGTGCTAGCTACCAAAATTTTGAAATGATTGTCCTTTAAAATTGAGCCCCTTGGCCGAAAGTAAAATAAAAGCCTGACTCGATCTTGTTGAACAGTAGGAAGTCTTATCTTTTTTATCAACAAGGCCAAAGGTAGGGCTGGCGCCGAGAATGACAGGCCAGGGCTCCCTTTCTCTGCAGTTCTCTGCAACTCCATCTGTGGACTCCATCTTCAGACTGGGGCAAGACTGGTGAAGTCCCAGGAGTCATGTCCAGGCCTTCAAATATATAAAGGCTGAAAAAGACCTTCTTTTCCCATGTCTCCTTTTTTGAGGAAGAGTTAAATCTTTCTCAGAAATAACATAGCTGACGCTTCCTTACAGCCCATTGTCTAGCATTAGGTTTCAGGCCCATGACAGAGACCTCGAGTTATTTCTGAATACCCATTCTCTCTGCTTTCTTTAATAATATTGTTCTGATTTTATCTGGACATATGGCTAGCCAGTTAAAAGACTGTATTTCCTTGCTTCCCTGGCATCTATATTCAGCCATATGACTAAGTTCCAGTCAATTGAATGTAAGTAAAAATGTTATGTAGAACTTTTGGGAAGTATCCCTAAAAGGGAGGCAACATCCTCTTTTATTGCTCTTCCATTCTGATTTCTGGAAAGCAATCAAAATGGTTGAAGCTTTCACAGTCATCTTGGATGCTCAAAGAGCTGGTGGAACAAAAAGCTGGAAGAAGCCCGGGTCCCTGATGACTTCAGCTGCAATTACAAGTAATGGGCTGCCCACCTCCAGTTACACAGGAAAAGCTTGTGTGTTCAGTTCACTTTTAATTTGGGTTTTCATTAACCTCTGGTGAACTTAATCCTGACCGATGCACATGCCCATTCCTAAATCAATCATTGGCCAGAGGAAATGTTCCCACCTGACTGGGGGCAAATGGATTTGGGGGAGGCAAATAATCACATTAAATATTTATTTACTTAAATACATATTAAATATTTATATTAAAAACAAATTACTATGGGGGGCCTGGGCGTCGCAGTCAATTAAGCGTCCGACTCTTGGTTTCGGCTCAGGTCGAGAGCTTGAGGTCGTGGGATCGAGCCCCGCGTCAGGCTCTGGGCTCTGTGGCGTCTGCTTCAAATTCTCTCTCCCTCTCCCTCCCACTCACTCTCTCTCTTTCTCAAATAAATAACTATAATCTTTAAAAAAAATAAAATAAAAATAAATTACAATAGGGAGGCAGTCTTCTGAATATCTACATACGATGCCACCGTATTGTAAGCGCTGTAGTATCTTAGTTACAAACTTAAATGATTATTTCCTGTGAAGTGCAGAGGAACCTTACTTCCATTTAGATTCTAATGGGTATTCTGGTAACTTCTATTAATTTTCATGAAAAAATTCTCAGCTGTGCTCTCAAAGGATTGAGAAAACCTCAAACCTCAAAATGCAAGGTTTGGTTTTTTAGTTGATAAACTTTTACTTAATTTTAACACATATGAGTCTATTAATGAAAACATTCTTTTAGGGATGCCTGGGTGGCTCAGTTGGTTAAGCATCTGCCTTTGGTTCAGGTCATGATCCCAGGGTCCTAGGATCGAGTCCCGCATTGGGCTCCTTGCTCAGCAGGGAACCTGCTTCTCCCTCTACCTGCCACTGTCTCTCTCTCAAGCAAAATAATTTAAAACAAACAAACAAAAAAAAACAAAAAAGGAAATATTCTTTTAGCATGTTTACTATTCCACTGAATGTGAATTTCAAATCTAGTATCTTTAGTCCTTTCCTTAGATACCTTGCAGTTTCAGACTTTTGGGTTTGATTTGTTAAATAGACCATTTTCTAATTCCTTCAACACCAAGTTGCATAGCAAGCTCTGCTCTTGGTTGGGAGAATGGAATAGAACTTTTCATTTTAACATCTCTCTTCAAGAAACTATTTTCATTTACAAGTGATTCACAACCCACATTTCCCAATTCCTTTAGTTTCTTTCAACTCTAAAACTCAAGATGAAATTACAAAGAACCTAAGCTATCATGAGGAGACCACATGATCTAAGCTCTGCGATTTCTCACTATGGTCCCAGAATTTTACCCCAGGGGTGGTGTAGTGTTTGGGAAACTAGAAATGCTCAGGCTGTAAGGTAAGAGTACTCTAATTCAGTTCACTGGACATATAATTAACACAACCACCAGTAGCAGAATACTTGTTCAGAGCCCAACTTTGTGCTTAACTAACTTTACTGCTTTAGACCAGACACTCGTATCACCTTTTCAAGCATCAGTTCCCTCATCTATAAAATAAAGGCCTTGATTACAAGATTTTTGAGTCTCCAATTTGTGCTATGCTAGGATGCCTGGGTGGCTCAGTTGGTTAAGTGTCTGGCTTTGGCTCAGGTCATGAGCCCAGGGTTCTGGGATCGAGTCCCGCATCGGGTTCCCTGCTCAGTGGGGAGTCTGCTTCTCCTTCTACCCCTACCCCGCTGCTTGTGATCTCTCTCTCAAACTCTCTCTTTCAAATAAATAAATAAAATCTTTAAAAATAAATAAAATAAAATCCCCAAGAAGCAGAAATATTTCTTCTCTACCCAAAAGCCAGTTCCTGGGCTTAATGATTCTGTAAGGCAGTTTTCTTTTCATGTTTCCAGCTTTATTGAGGTATAAATGGCAAATGAAATTATATATATTTAAAGTGTACGTGATTTGATAAACATTGTGAAATGATTACCACAATCAAGTTAACACGTCCATCAATGAAGCAGCTTTTTAAATAAAGAAGATATGACTGTCTCCAGTCCTGTCTTCTCTAGAATTCAAGGATAATCCACCAGCACTCTTCTTCTATTAACCCTTCACAAATTTTAAGCCGGTAAGTCACCATTCACCAGTCTTTTCCTTAGTGAATGATCAAAGCTCAGCCATTCATGTACTACCTTCATGGTTTGCTATCTTGGTTATTATGTTCTCTATGTTCTTTTTACTTAATTTTGAAGAGAATTTTTATTAATCACGGCTTGATGAGGACTATATATGAGGATTGTATCAGTCTTGCTTGGCAAAAATAGAAGTTAACTGTGGGGGAAAAAAGACCCAGAAACTTACTGATTTTTAAAATAGGCAAGTAAAGACTTCATGAATAAGGCAACGAGCCTCATTTGGTATGACACATTTCTTATAGTAACTCCCCATGACTTCCTCCTTTTTGTGCACCAGCAATATCAGTAGCCTCATGAAACATTTCTGCTAAATCTTCATGCACTTTACAGGTGGGAGGATTTTCCGAGGCATAGGGTAATGGAGTTCTACCTGAAATCATCCACTACCTCAATTGGAGAAACATGTCTCTAGGGCAAGATCAATAGTTTCTTTTACCTTTATTTAGAATAGTTCTCAAACCCTAGCAAGCCTAAGAATCACCTGAGGCTCTGGCTAAATGCTCCTTTTCTGGGCCTTGCCCAGGTCTAGACTAGAGCCTAGGAGTTTGCATTGTAGAACAACTTCCCGGATGATTGCAATGCAGGCAGTTTTCAGACCCTAACTTTGAGAAACATGTGATAAGGCTTTCTTTAGTCTAATACGTATTGACTCATTCTTCAATAACTTGAGCACTTTTCAGGTGCCCCTGGTAGGAGGCAAAGGGGCAAAGGGATGTGCCAAGACTCAAGATTCAGTATTCATGTCTCCAGGCAGCATATGACTGTCAGATGAAACATACTTAAAATACCTCTCTAGGAGTTCAGGGTTGGGAAGGTTGAAGTGAGCCAAAGCTGTGGGAAGGCTCTGTGGATCCAGACTGGAAGGCCCTGGTGATTCCCTCCCTCCCCCACCCTCACCCCCGAGGAAGGAGGGTGGAATCAGAGGGGTTCCGGAAGTTAGGTCAGTCTGGAGCTGAAGTTCCAGGTGCAAAGGCTGGAAAGGTCAGTTAAAGTGTAGGCACTTTATCCTAGGGCGGTCAGCTGTTACTAAAGGTCGGCGTAGGGACATGAGGATAGCTTTGTCTTGAGGGAGTGTAATAACCCGGGGTGGATGTTCAGGATGGATTGAATTTGGCAGTGCCAAAGGCACAACAATCATTAAACTTACGGAGGGTGCGTGCCTGGGAATGGAAAGAAAGCTGAATGGTGAGATTAACAAAACACTGGATTTATCTGTAGGGGTGGGGATGAGAAGGTACCCAAGATGGAAGGATGCGGAACACTTTTAAAAGATAGGCACACCGGGAATCCTAAACAATTCAGCTTCGTAAAAGCCAGTTCGTAAAATCCTAAACAATTTCCTTTGTAAAAAGGGAACCTCTTGAACAGGCAGAGGACCTGTTTGTGCCAACATTGTTAACCCTTTCCAGTGTCTCCGTATCTCTCAAAATAAAACCGTCTTCCCACGCTCGCTCCCTCCTGCTACCTAAACACTGCTAATGAAACATCTCCCTGAAGCTGGGTCCAGCAGGCCCAAGATGCTGCAGGCTTCCGCCCCTGCGATGAACTGGAAACTTCTCAGGTCACCTAGCTAAAATACCTCTGTCTTGTCAAGTGGTTTCCAACTTTGCTGCACAGAGGAAGGACCCAAAGATTAAACAAAAATAACAAAAGTAAGCCTAGCGCCCACAGCTAACGTGCAGCATAGATTAGAAACCATTCGTTTAGCGACATCTCCACGGCCCCTCAAAAACAAATCTTTCCACTCGCCTGCCCTCCGCCGTAAGGACGCACGTGGAAGGTTCGGGGCCGAGTGGGCCCGGTCGCCGCGCCGGAGTCCCCTTCCCCCCCAGCTAGCCCGGCGTGCCCAGCTCGCGGCAGGCCCGGAGGAGGCGGCGCTCCGGGCTCCCCGGGCCGGGCCGTAGCAGAACCGAAAGCGGCGGGCGCGGGGAGGCGGGGGAGAGGAAGGAGGGGCGGGCGCCGGGGGAGAAGGGCGAAGTGGCGCGCGGAGGGCCGGGAATGCCCGCGGCGCGGAGCCCGAGCCGCCCGGTGGCAGCGTCCGGGCAATGGCTCTCCGTCTGGTCTCCGACTTCGACCTCCGGAAGGACGTGCTCCCGTGGCTGCGGTCGCAGCGGGCGGCGTCAGCGGCCGTCGGGGCGCGAGGCGGCGGCCCAGGTGCTGGAGGCGCGCGTCCGGGTCGGGGGGGCAGGTGGGAGCCGGCGAGGGGGTGGAGTCTGAGTCGTTCGTAGCTCGAGGGCTCCCAGGCCGGGCCGAGGTCGGGGGCATCGACCGCTCGCGGCCCCTGCCAACCTGTGACGGTTGGTGCGGAAGGGGTGAACTTCTCTCTTTCGAGTCCGGGCTTTGCCTCCCTCACCCCCGGCCACGGGGTGAAGGTCAGAGGGGCAGTCGGGGCATGGTCGTGGCTGGACTGCACTGCTTCTTCTAGCGAGTCCCCCAGCTTCTGGCTCACTTGTTGCCCAGTCGTTCACCTTTAACAGGCCAGGGACACTAGTGGTACCTCAGCATCGTCTCATCAGGGCAGGGCGTGGAGGAGCACCTGCCAAGACCGCGTTCCTCTGGCCCAACGCTGCAAGGAGTGGGACAGGAGCTTCTCTCTGTTTCATTCCCATCTATCTCACCTGCCTGGGAGGGTTCATCACCCCTGTAGGGGCTCTGCCAAGACTGGGGCTCCTGAAAGTTGTTGCCACCAAAAAAACCACCATAAAAAATACCTAACAGTTGCGCAGTTTGTCTTCACATTTGTGAGATGTTTCTGTGTGAATAGTGTTCACGGTGTTCATGACTTAGGGGACATGCCACTTCCGATGTGAAGTGCGAGAGGGCAGGGGACTGCTTTCAGGCTGTGAGCAGTGAACTAGAGCCTACTGTTTTCCAAAGAGGCACCAAGCCCATCGCCACCAACCCAGACCATAGCACCACCTGTGCCGGCTAGCAGGACTGGGGTGTGAGACAGCGATGGTCAGGTTTGCTGTCCACCTTCCTCAGGGTCAATGAGAATACTTCCTTCACAGTTGAGGCTTTGCTTTTCATCTGTCTCAAAAATCCTTTGTTTTGGTTTTGATGAGGGAGAGAAAAGTGACTTTTGAGCCTTTCTAGCACTGATCAATCAAAACTTTAAAGAAGGGGAACTCTGTGATTTCTCACATTTTTTTTTCTTTTTAAGAAGGTTACTGTAAATAATCCATCCTCAAGGCTTAAATTCAGCTTCAAAGCTATCACACACTGGATCCCACCTTGTTCATAGGAGCTATTCACTTCAGTGTGTTTGCGCCCCCTCCCCCACCTCCGTGCTTTTCCTTAAACACTGTAGACTGCTGGAGGGTGTTTTTTAGAAGGGTTATCCTCATATCGACAATTTCTTCCCCCTTAACTCTGATGAAAGTTGTCTCTCCCTACCTTATATCTTCACACGATCCTGTGGCTTTAGCAGAATTATTTGTAGGGTAGCTTGTCTTGCCATGTTGGTTATTAGTTCCAAATAAGGAGTCACGTTTGTATAGCTCAAGGCTTGAGTTTGCTGAGGTGTCATTATTAGTAAAGTTTTGCTTTTTTGCAAAAAAATTTAAAGTCTCCTAAAGAGATTTTGAAGGTTTCACTTTTTAAAATACAATAGGCAGCTTGATGCCTGCTTTCCACCACAGAGTAGTCCTTTCCCTGAGTCTTCACACCATAGAGCTAAATGGCAGGTGTCTGCAAATGAAAAGCTAGGTGAAGTGTGAAATGCCACAGTCTTACGTTTCAGTAATGTGTGTTGTGATTGAAAAGCTGTATGTGAACCAGCTAGGCCTTAGCTTCCTGTGCCTTTTTCACTCATCTGTGAAGAGACATAAACTTGTGTATTGACATTCCACTAAGTAACAGATGAACTTAGGTCCTCAGAAGGTAAACCTACTAGAAATACCAGCTTTTTCTAATATTGGTAGTATTTTGCTCTTGCAGAGCATCTTGGCAAGATCATTAGCCCCCTTATGCTAAGCGAATTGTTACTCCTGATCATCACCAGTGGGTGGTAGCTCAAAAAAACACAGTTAATTCCTCTTCTATAATTTGTAGCACTGGCAGGGGAATCTGGGATTCTATTTTATTTCTAGCATGGCTACCACTCCGCACATTTGGCAAATTATTTTCCTTTCAAAGTCTCAGCTTTGCAAATGTAAATTATAAGTAATTAAGCCATTGTAATGTCTCCTCTCTGCACCCTTGCTATCTAGATTTGAAGCCTTAATACTTTTACATCAACAAATACAATCGAAGATTTCTTAGTGGTGCTAAGTAATACTAAGTATGACATATTCCTGGCAAAATAGCCAGGGAGCTGGGCTAAGTTAGCCATGGAAATTTAGTGCCTGTGGGATAGTATTTTAGTCAACCAGGGGTTAAAGAGTAAGGAGACCAGATTTGGTTCCTACATATGCTTCTGGTTCTGGATTGAACTTTTGGAAAATAATCTCTCCTGAAATAAATGGAAAAAAGTATTTCTTTTAAAAACCAGAACAATTATACCAAAGAATATTTTAGCACATGTGACCTATAAATAACAAAAAACTAAACCACACACCCACCTTAAAAAGTAGAACAATATCAGGGGCGCCTGGGTGGTTCAGTCGGTCAAGCATGTGACTCTTGATTTCAGCTCAGGTCATGATCTCAGGGTCGTGATATCGAGCCTCACGTTGGGCTCCACACTCAGTGCCGAGTTTCCTTGGGTTTCTTTCCCTCTGCCCCCTCCCCACTTGTGCACACACATACTCTCTCACTTTCAAATAAGTAAATCTTAAAAAAAAAAAGAACAGTATCAAGACTTTTGAAGGCTCTTGTGTTTCCTGATCTATACTCTTTCTCTATCCCTTATCTCCTAGTGGTAAAAACCATTTAAACTTTGATCTTACTTGCAGTTTTAACCTATATGTATATCTCCCTATGCAAAATATCATTTCATTTTGCTTGTTTGTGAACTTTATTTTTTTTAAAGATTTTATTTATTTATTTATTTTTTTAAAAGATTTTATTTATTTATTTGACAGAGAGAGAGACAGTGAGAGAGGAAACACAAGCAGGAGGAGCGGGAGAGGGAGAAGCAGGCTTCCTGCTGAGCAGGGAGCCCGATGCGGGGCTCGATCCCAGGACCCCGGGACCGCGACCTGAGCTGAAGGCAGCCGCTTAACCAACTGAGCCACCCAGGCGCCCCTTGTTTGTGAACTTTAAATGAAAGAATATTATATGTATCCTTTTTTGCTTTTTTTTTTTTCTTCTCAGTATCCACATTGACTGCGGTAGGTCATTGGCTTTCACTGATGTATAGTATTCCATTGTGTGAATGTACACGGTATGGTGGACGTGGAGATGTACCGCTTCGATCTTCCTTTCAAGGAAGAGCTTGTCCCCAGTGTTGTGAGGGTGGTCAGTAGGTAAGCTTCAGCTGTCAGCCCCTTCAGGGACTGCCTCCATGGAGGACTTCCTTGCCCAGTGTCAGGACATTTTGAGTGTGGCCCACATTTAATTAGGGATTGAGGTGGGGTATCAAGGCCTGGCCATTTTGACTCAACACAGGACAACTTTGACAGTCCATTTTAGTATGAGAGCCTCTCCCCTGGGGAATTCCCAAGTTACCTGACATTGCTGCTGCTTGACTTCTCCCCCTTCGTGGCCCTGCTTCCTTCCCCTCCCTCCTCCAGGTGTTAATCCCACTTCACTGAACATTCCCTGGTAAATATCCTGGATACTAACCTGTCTCAGGGTGCTTCCTGGCTTTACTTATCCTTTTTGGAGTGATGGCATTTGGGAAGTTTCTGGGGTTTGCCAGTATAGGGAATCCTTCTGCTCACTTTCTTGTACATGATGGATGTCTAACTGGAGTTGCTGAGTCCTAGGCTTTGTACGTCTTCACTTTTCCCGGATAGTGCCAAATTGTTTTCCAAACCAGCTGTACTTACTAACAACCCCATTTGTGGTATAGAAATGTTTTTTGTACTCCGTATCCTCACAAGCTCTTGATATTTCCAGATGTTTAATTTTTTGTTGAACTGGTGAGTCTAAATGTTATTTCATTGTGGTCTGAGGTTTAGCATCTTTCTATATTTATCGACCTTTCAAGTTTCCCCTTTGATGAGATGTCTGTTCATCCTGTCCATTTTTCTATTGTGTTTTTTTCATATTGATTTTTAAGGGTTCTTTATTCTGGATTCTAATCCTTTGTTTGTCATATATGTTGCAGATATTTCCTCTCACACTGTTTTTTTCAGTTTGCAGTGGGGTTTTTAATTTTAATGTGGTCTAATTTATGAGTCTTTTCCTTTTTGGTTTGTGCTTTTTTGGATATTTTAAAGAAATCCTTTCCTATCTAGGAGTCACAAAGACATTTTTAAATTAACTCCTAAAAGTTTTGCTCTTTGCATTTTGTTTTTTAATCCATCTGGAATTTATTTTTGTATGTGATATGAGGTAGGAATTGGGGACACAAGAGCCTTCAAAAGTCTTGATATTGTTCTGTTTTTAAGGTTGGTGGTGGGTAAATGCTTTTGCTTCATTGTTATGTATAAGCTTACATGTGTTAAAATAGTCTTTTGTAAATTGTATTGGTTTTCTGTATTACTAGTTCTCATGTCACTAACCAAATAGCCCTACTTCCTCTCATTGACAGCAAAGCCACTTCCGTCACATATCAAGTTTCCACACATGTGTGGGTCTCCTTTCCTGGCTTCTCAATTTTGTTCCTTTTGTCAAGATGAAAATGTCTTAATAACTGTCTTTATGAAAGTCTTAAAATCTGGTGGAGTAAGCCTCCTCCCCTTAGTCTTCAGGACCATCTTGGCTATCCTATGCCCCTTGGTCTCTCATGTATATATATTTTGGAATCCACCTATCAGATTTCACCAAAAAGTCGGTTGGAATTTTGAGTTGCATTGAATCTATACATCAGCTTTGGGAGAATTGGCATCTTTACAATATTAAATCTTACAACTATGAACCAAGTATAATTTACTATCTAGTTAGATCCTCTTTATGACTCTTAGTAAGTCTTAGAATTTCTTCCATAAACGTCCTGCACACTTTTTGCTAGCTTTATTTCTAGGTTGTTGTTATTTTATGTTGCTTCCATAAATGGCGCACTTAAAAACATGACATGTTCTAGCTGTTATTGGTACATAGCAATA